GTCACCAGCTGCTTGAGATGTTTTTGATCAAATTGAACACATGATGGCACAGGTCAGGTGCACAGAGCAGAGTTGGAATCTCTGAAATAAGCAGGTCTTTGTCATAATTTGATCATTTTTTACATGATTTCATTGATGATTATCTTATCTTGACATAAGACTATCTTATCACAGATCACAGATCACACAGTCCAGATTAAGGGTTTAGAGAGGTTATTAGTACATTGATATGGAGGCCGGGAACAGCATGCTGATTCACAGCCCAAAATGAGATCGCTGTCTGATTGATTGATCGCTGCGGGTCTTTGGCATAATTCACAGCATATCACATTGGAATTTGTTGCTTGTGCCCTGTAAAGTTTACAAATGTTAGTTATATACACACTGGTTAGATACCATATTGTATGTATGTATTCTTGTTAACGAGCATTAATTTCCCCTGGTCCTGAAATTGATCGATCATGTGCATTGCAGATGAGTCAGCAAGGTTGCTGAAACACTTTTACATGATCTAGTCTCATTGCGAGCGAAGCGAGCAATCATCCACTAAAGAGATCCCCTGAAGCACTAAACAAGTGCAAACTCTGAGCAACTTTTGATGGGAGCTCTCACGGCACTATTTCAGCTGCAGTTTACTCAATTCTACTGTTACCACTCCTGTACTGCGTATACTTATTTATATATACTGCATCCATGCTCCACACAAGTTTTGGACGAATCGGCAAAGAAATGAGTGGCCTATGGCTGTTCTCATTTCCCAAACGCGCATCTCTTCTCATGAGCTCAAATCTTCTTTGATTCCTTAGCAGCCTCGTATATGTACGTCACAGATATACCAAAAACTTTTCCCATTGATTTTAAGGCTCTGTGAGATGTGGTTTTTGAGCACAAACATCGTCGATTCTGACCAACCATTTAGCCACTCAATCACGTGATGCAATGGCATTGCGACAATTCATTGTCTGCGGAGACCCAGCAAAACTGTACATTGCCTCCTCCCATCTCCACCCATGAGCCCTCCTTGCGTTACTCTCAATCCTCCGCGCGTTAATGTGCGCTGCAAAGTCTGCCCATCCTGTGCAAAGGTCCGAGAGTACAGATACGGAACCTGGCACCCATCAAGGAATATCTGTCGTGTCTGTTCAATGGAACAAGACAAGCGAGAAGGGCACGCACGGGCTTTCCGTACTCTTCGCCCTCGAAACCCAGATGTTGATGTTCCCCCGCCTGCTCCTTGCAAACAATGTTCACTCTGCCATGTTTCTGACTACGCCAGCCAGTTTCCCGATGCCAGTGGCCGATGTCGAAGCTGCCGAAATAAAGAAAAATGCGCCAAGTGCAGCAAAATCAAGAAGCGGTCGAATTTCCTGAAAGCAGACAATGTATTGCTATTCAGGACTTGTTTGCAGTGCCGCTCCAAAGCACAGATTGCGATGTCAACAAAGCAATCTGTGGCAGCCACCGCTGGTCTTTGCTACTGTCCTATGGGCCGGCATGAAGTGGCACCTGCAGATTGTACCACGGAAGGCCACATGTATGTCAACTGTCATGCCTGTTGAGCGCATGCACGAGAGATGTATGCAGCTCGTCAAGCAGAAGTGTTGGCTGCAGAAGAAACTCGAGTTGACATGGAACACGGGGAAGGGGCTATGTGCGACAACAATGCGGTGAAATGCTGAGGGCGTGCTCACAAGTGAATCTACTATGAAAGTAAACCCAAATATAAACACGTTCACACTCCTCGTAATCAGCTTCTCAGTGTGTGAAAGATGCGAGGGCTTCGGGGTGGACAGAGCACCAGTATCACAACTCTCAATAGACACAGATCCAATAGTCGCGGAGACGAAGTCGACGACAAGAATTTATATATAGCAAACAATGGTATCTCAACCAATATCTTCTATACGAACACAACCAACACTAATCCAATCCACAAAGAACGATATAACAAGTCAGAACTTAATACGAAGTATTAAGATCCCTTGTAGCGACAGCGTCCAGATGGCGACGCAAAGCCCAAATATCAAGTCGACGCACTGCCAACTGATACAACCAATATACTGAGTCGACGCACTGCCAACTAGTAAACCAAGATGCCAAGTCGACGCACTGCCAACTGACACAACCAAAAGTACTGAGTCGACGCACTGCCAACTAGTAAACCAAAATGCCGCGTCGACGCACTGCCAACTAACAGCCAATATCCAATGTCCAAAACCCGAGCACAACCTGTCGACGCACTGCCAAGCAAGAAGTGTGGAACCAAAGTTCTCAAGTCGACGCACTGCCAACTGACCAAAACGACCCGAGCACAACTAGTCGACGCACTGCCAAGCTAGAGGTGTGGAACAATCTCAACAAAGCCCAAAGGGCGACGACACTAAGTGCCGCAACTAAACCAGATGCGGCAAATCCGACTTTCTGATGTCTCAACTCAAACTCAAATCACAGTAGCTACAAGCGCTCAGGGAGCAACTTGTCGCGACCGGGCAGGGATGGCAGAACTTCTTAGGGTGGAATCACGCGGCACGCAAATTGTACAAAACAATCTGAAATGATAGTGATTCACAGTCCGGGGGAAAGCTTTCTAATACAAAGAAACATCGTGCTACTTATACTGTCTACGACAATGCTTAGTAAAGTCCTGTACAACTGCATAGTAGCTACGCTATCTAAGATCGGTTGCCTTTTAGGGTAATTGAAAAGTTGAACGATCGGACAGGTCCTGAGTGATCAGGACCCCGCCCCATTGTCCATATGATACTTTTGATGTGGGTCAACCCACCGCGTCATACTTTTGGAATACGACGTGCTGGATTGGCCAACGGGTATGTCTTGGCAAGTGAGACCAACGTGGGCGCCCCAAGAAGCCGTATGGCCCTAGGCACGCCAGTCGTCCCTCACATGGCTCGGTTCACGGATCTAGCCGTGTCGATTTCAGTGTGTTTGGGTATGGGCGCGACTCGCCGTGACACTTGGAAGTGTCACCGCGACGCGTCCACAATGTCCCGTGATTGAATGGATCCTGACATGTGACAAGTCGTCGTCGTGACACGATATGAGGAAACGTCCAACTCAAAACCGGGAGTTGCCGCGACAAGATGGTTTAAGTCTTGTAACGCCAAGTCCTGTCCAGTAGTAGTTGTATTATTGAGAACGTCGCACATTGCTCAGCCCTTCAGCCCAAGTTCCCATCTGCAGAGAATGACCCTTTTTGAGAAGTCGACGCAACGACAGATCCCCTTTTGGGGAATGGTCGCGGTCCAAGCGTTCGTCACTAATGGCCCTGAGCCTGGTGTAGACTCATAAGACCAGTTCCACAGTAGTGGTCTGACTGCCTTGCTATCGTCGACACTATCCACAGTCGTCGACTGGGCAGTAGACCCATAAGTCCTACTGAACGCAACACTGTCAACCGCGACACGATACACCGAGTGGTTCAAGAGTAAACTCTGTAAAAAGCGCAAAAATACGCCCTTACAGAGCTGGTGCAGAGCGCGTCTGGTAGCCAGCCTATCAGCGGATGGTGTTCATGTTCTTGATGAGTTTGACACGTTCTTTGGAGATGGATCTGACTTGCCGGCTCTTGATCTGCCTGAGGATCCGGCTCTTGATGTCGATGAAGAGGCTGCTGTCCACCGGTTCAGAAAAGCACTGGATGGAATGAAAATCGAACACTGACCTTCATGTCGAGAGGAAGGTTTCGACGTTTGTCTCACGGATTCCACTGTCTGTTTGAGATGTTCCCGCAACAATACCGTTCCTTGCCGTTGGTCTGATGAAAACAGAACTAATCCAAGTGAGTCAGCACTTTCACACGTTTTGAGCACAAACTTAACAAGAGACCAATAGTGCTCGCCTGTAGAGTTCCACCTTGCTTGCAAAATCTGACCGACATGGAAGAGATGTTGATTGCGCACACAAAAACAATCATGCAGGTCCGGTGGACAAAAGGCCGACAACTGTCTTATAAAGACCACATCATCAACTTTCCTCAAAATGTCGAGAATATTGCTGCGACCTTACCTCAATTACCCGAAGACGTTGACCTGGTCATCATCCGCAGAGAGGGTGTTAATCTTTTGCATCATGTTGACTTCGTAGTCCGTTGAGACAAAGTTTGTGCTGCCCTGGAATACAAGATAGCCAATGATCCCAATTATGCAGATCTGGTTGCACCAGACGAGGTGGTGCTTTCTCAATTGCCTGTCCATGGAAGCATTGTAGATCAACTCTCAGTTTGCCGAGAAGGCCGGCAGGAGGGCGACGTACCAGTGCTGGCTGGTCCGGCCCAAGCTGCAGAGACAGAGCAGCCCGAGGAAGACACAGACAGTGGAGGTGCTTCTGTGGGTGGAATCTTGAACCTTGGCTTGCCTGTGCAAGAGGAGGTTGTCGAGATGCGTGAAGGCGCCACTAGAGCTGTCACTAGGCCTCGTTATGAACAGACAATCGTGAGTTTTGGCAATCCGTGGTTAATTATGAAAGAAACTAATGTGTTTGTGCAGATTGCAGCACCGTCTGTTGACTCGAATGCCATCTCGGAGTATACACCAGGATACATGACTCGTGCATTCCCAACACTTTTCCCTGATGGAGCAGGAGACTTCTTTGCTCCGCATCAGCGCAAGATCAAGCTTGGTGAATACTTCAAGCACCTTCTCTGATTTGAGGGTGGTCAATTTGCCCGGCATCGGTGATTTCCTTGGTTCGCTTTCAACACCCTTCAAAGACATCGTGTTCGCAGTCAAGCCAAGGTCTTTGTTAAACAGAATCACGATGCGGGACGGATGTCAGCTGATGAGCTGAAGGCACTTCTCAAAGAGGGTGATCAATCTGTGGCTCGAAACATGATCCGCTATGGTGCTAAGCTGCGCGGAACCCAGGCATACTGGCATGCACGACAAAATGAGCTTACAGACATGATTCGGGTCAAGGGCTTCCCCCATCTGTTCTTTACGCTCAGCGCTGCCGACTTACAATGACCCGATCTCCACCGCCACATGCCTTCAGAAACGGATATGCCACCTGAAGACAAGGCTGCAGCACGACGTCAGCGTCGATTGGCACTAGAGAGAAATCCACACCTGGCTGCATCTTACCTTGATGAACGTGTTCAAGTCTTCATGAAACATGTCATGGGGAAGATATTTGATATCGGGGATTTCTGGTATTGCTATGAGTGGCAGGAGCGAGGAAGCGGCCATGTACATGGATTTCTGTGGCTCAATGATGCCCCAAGACCCAAGGACATAGACTGGGAACTGCTCAAGAAGCAAAACACACCCATTTCCGGAGACCAGGAGCAGAAGATGACCGCTTTCAAGAATTACTGGGATCGCATTGTCTCAGCCTTCAATCCTGTGCCAAGAGACGATCCGAACGCACCACATCTGGGTCAGAATCCCTGCAGTCGATCCACATCCAACATCGAGAACACGAAGCAGGAGTTGGCGGACTTGTTGAATTGGGTTCAGCAACACAGCAAATGTGTTGCTGGCTATTGCCAAGTTAAGCGCAAAGTACCCGGTCAACAGGAGCCACAAACCTTCTGCTGTTTTGACTACCCTATGCCCTGCCATCCAGACTTCTTGACTATTGGGCTGGACAGCAAGAACCGGCTTCGGTTTGAACCTAGGCAAAATGATCCACTTCTGAACAACTACAATCGGGCAATGCTCTTGGCCTGGAGAGCAAACATCAACATCAAACCTGTGCTCAGTAAAGAGGCCACAATCGAGTAAGTTCGCAATCTTACTTGATTCATGTCTTGACTTGTTTGAAGTTACATCGCGAAGTATGCTAGCAAATCCGAGCAGCAAGCGCCTGCTTTCCCGGAAATGCTCGATACCATTGTAAAGCAAATGGACGGTGCAGGAAGCGCTCAGATTGCATGTCAGAAGCTGCTGAACAAGATGCTTGGTGAACGAACGTACTCAGCCCAGGAGACAGCACATCTGTTACCCGGGATTCCTCTTGTGTGAACGTCAGCCACGTTCCAGACACTGTATCTTGGCGAAGACGGTGGGATGCAAGAGATTATACAGTCTGCCGATGAAATGGCAGAGAATCTTGACAACAACAAAGACTTGGATGGGGAACGACGCGTAACAGATGATTCCTGGCTGCAAAGGTAGATTGTGATCCAGTCCAAAGGGACATAATGAATGCTAAACAGACCAACAGATACATGTCTTGTCCGGATTCTATGGGAGCCCTGTCCCTATACGAGGTCTTTTCCGGTTACTCGTGGCGAAGGAACCAGTGGCAAAAACGTCGAAAGCCGAATGTCGTAGTCAGAGCATTCCCTCGCTATTCACCCAATCCAGAAAGCGATGTGTATCCTCAGTACTGCTGCACAAAGGTCCTTCTTCATCATCCCTTCCAACACTTGGACAAACTCCAGAAGCGCGCAGAGGCTGAGCCAAGTGACAACAAGAATCCAGCCAAGTATTCCTGGCCCGAATTGGGGGCGCAGTGCCGGGCTGCTGCACATGTCCATCCAACGGACTCGTTACGTTCTTGGGAGGAAGAGAATCAGGACCAAGAAGACGACAAGGACAAGGATGAAGAGGTAAACGCCGATGTCGAGATGCTGACCAAAGATGATTGGCAAATCTTTGCACGTGACCATCCACTCGCTGCACTTCCTCGATTTGAAGCTTCGGATCTAGGAACACGTCCTCTGGATGCCGCCTGGAATCCAGACGAGTCCCGTACACGCTGGAATGACATTGAACAAATGGCATCATATTTGGATGTGCAACGACGTGAATCGGGTCCGCAGGCCGAGAGTGTGATCGGTGACATTGATGTCGGTACTCTTGCCCCGGAGCAACGCGCAATATTTGACAAGATCCTCGGTGCCTACTCTCGCATTCTTATGGGACACCAAACGCAACAGATTCTTCTCAATATCGATAGGACAGCCGGTTGCAGGAAGACTTACCTCATTCACGCAATCTGTCAACAGCTGCGTCTCGCGGCAGCTCAGAACAACCAACTGGACCCGGTGCGAGTTGTTGCACCATCCGGAGTCGCAGCATTCAACATTCGAGGCCGTACAGTGCACTCCTCTCTGGGTCTGCCCGTGAATTCCAACTTTGTGCCTTTGAGCGGATCACGACTGGCAACTCTTCAAGAGCAATGGCGAGGCACCTGTTTTCTCATCATCGACAAAAAATCAATGCAGGGTCTTCGAATCTTGGCGCAAATTGACTCGCGTCTTTGCCAGATCTTCCCTCAACAAGCAGACTGCGTATTCGGAGGCATCAGTATTGCCTTGGTTGGGGATTTTGCTCAGTTGCCACCAGTTGGAGATCGTCCTCTTTATGCCCCGCCTTCAAGAGATCTCACGGACGGTGGCTCTCTCAGCCGCGACGGAAGCATCTTATACCGCAGCTTTTCGGAAAGTCACGCCCTTTGCGTTGTTCACCGGCAAGAAGGGGACTCCCCAGAGCAGGAAGCTTTCCGCGCTCTTCTCCGACATGCTTCTCAAGGCAGTCTGAGTGTTCTCGAATGGGAAACTCTTCTCACTCGCCGCTTCTCTGTTCTTTGTCCAGATGAGAGGGCAACCTTCTCGGAGGCTCTCTGCCTTTTCACAACTCGTGAAGATGTCCACACCCTCAATCTGGACCAGCTCCAGGCATTGAACGAGCCCTGTGCACGCATGAAGGCGCGGCACGATGGCGGGCCTGCTGCGGCAAAAGTCACTGCAGACAATGCAGGAGGGCTGGAGCCCTATCTCACTCTTTCCCGCCGAAGTCAAGTCATAATCAACCGAAATCTATGGCAACAGCACGGTCTGGTCAATGCAACGGTTGGAACGGTGGAAGATGTGATTTGGGCGCAAGGAGCCTCGACCTCTGATTTACCGGAGGTGGTTCTCGTCTCTTGCAAGGACTACACAGGCCCGACGCTATGGCGAACCGAGCCACAGCTTCCAGACTTTCCCGGGGGTGTTCCAATTGTGCCGATCCCTACCGTTAAGAGCACCTTCAATGTGGGCGACAAGCAGATGTCCCGTGTTCAAGTTCCTCTCAGACTGGCATGGGCAGTGACGATCCACAAATCCCAAGGTCTGACCATTCCGAAGATAAAGCTCGGGTTGGGGAAGAAAGGGTTTGCCATGGGATTGACTTTCGTTGGGTTGTCGAGGGTGAAAGCATTGGCAGACATTGCTATATTGGGGCAATTGGACTATTCTCGAGTTCATAATCTCGGTGGAAAGAATATGCAGTACAGGTTAGACGACTGGGCTCGTAGATACAGAATTTGACATCATGTGATTCGAAATCGGAGCGAGCACTGGGCGCTTACGTGCGCAATTCCATTTTTATTGTCTGGCCAGAAACAAGGCAGCAGTGCAGGCAGAGACAGAAAGATATGGAGAATAATGACTTGCACATCTGGTCCTGTCAGCAGAAACCCTACAGCATATAAAACTCAGTGTGGACCTTGTCAGAAGTTGTTGTCAGGGGAACCCCTGCTTTCGTCTGATCATCATGGGATCTTGCATGTGACCGTGCACGTGCCATCTGTCAGGTGTCACATGCTTAGGTCCAGACTTCCCTGCCAAGCGCATCCACATGACACTCTGGCCCAGACCCCCATTGTTCCGACGGTCTGGCTCCCATTGTTCTCCCCAATCTGGCCCCTCATTGTTCCCTGGCCCCATTGTCTGGCGCTTCCATTGTGCTTGGTCATCCATTGTTATGTAGGCTATATATAGTGGGCCCTGACAAGGAGAGTCCCCAACTCGGTTTCTCTTTGGACTCTCCCTTGTCAGGTTTGCCAGTCTCCTGTATTAGTTGATCCCTTTATCTGACGCTTTGGACTCTCCCTTGTCAGGACTCTGAGATCGGGCCTCAAGGTTGCCCTTACAGTTGTGGTCAACTACTTCAAATTGTGTAAGGGCAACTCCTGCCAGCCCAAAGGAAGAGAGCACACAGCACACAACAACCTCACATGAGTCTGAGCATAGAGGGGGATCCTTAGAGAACGGTTCAAGGATCCATGTGCCCAGGTGTCACACTATATAGTCAGCTGTGACAAGTGACTGATGATGATGGGATATCACTGCCATCGAACAATGGCAGATGACAAGTAGATGATGACAAACCCAGATAAGATAGTGAGTGGCTCAGAGGGGCCAGTGATGGCCAGCTCCTGAGACACCAACAGTGGAAGGCCACACTGGAGGAGCCCAGTGGCCAGGCCAGTGCCGGGCCGGCCAGTGGAGACATCAGAGGCAAGGACCAATGCCCAACTGGGAACAGGGGTGGTGCGGATGAGCACAAGGGCATCTGGTACAAGCCTGTACGGCAGTAGACCACATCCGCGGGGAGAAGGCCGAAGTGAAGGGGGAGGAGTGCGTATGGCAGTAGCACTCCCTGGTGCAAGGAATTGGGCTTGGCTAGACTGCTTGCAGGGATTTGAGGGAGATGGCTAGGGGAAGGAGGGAGAGGGCGGATGTCGGCATGGATGGAGATGAGGATCGGAGGAGGAGGAGGAGGCTGGGTGATCAACAGGTGAGCAGGCACGGGTCGGCAGAGAGGGCGCAGTGGGTCACGTGCATGGTCACGTGCCCAAGGAGCACGGCGTCCCCTGACAATCATACTCCCTTTCTCTGACTAGAGTTTTAACAGATCCTGTTGTCAAATGGGGCTGATGCAAATACACTGGGCATCCCTGAGAGAAAGGGTGGACTACAAAAAAGCTTTTGCATCTGCATTTGCTATATCTGCCTGGGATTCTCCTAGCTGGGTTAAATGATCACATATTCCATATTTGTTGGAATTGACTTTTCATAAACCACTAATATCTTCTCTCAGGTTTATATTTCCAAAGCCAAACTCAAGTATATCAAATGAAATATTCATGCTGTTATGACACCATCTCACAAATGACTGGCATGGCTGCACCACTGGTCAAATCACTCTAGCTGACAGGGAGTTCACTCAACAAGATGGGCAAACAGATCAAGGAGAACAAGTGCAGACATATAATGCCATGCACTGACAAAGACAGTACTAATGCTATGCTGACCTTAGGCTGAAGCTTAGTATCTACTTCACTTACAAACTGCCCGAAATAAATGCAATTACCACTCTGACTCGAACCTTTGCCCTCCTGGAAAATCACGTGACAGATCAAATCACATGATCTATACCAGCTGAGGGTCTTTGTGCACTTGTCGTAGCAAGGCCTCCATCAAAATTTTTGCAGATCTAGGTCTTCGATAGTACAGCCATGCGGATCATTGAAAAAAAGGAAGAAAAGAAAAGACAAGCGAAAAAAACTGTCCAGTCACGTGAGCTTGTATTCCATTGGCCCGTGCAGGCTGCAGTCCTCCTTCTTCCCAATTGTGTCTCGGTCCAAAAGAGACAGGGTACCCGGTCCCGCCTGCGCCATCACAGCAGATCCTCAAATTCTCATTCTGTGCCCTGGTCATCCAGAGACTGGTCTGGGTAATCAGTTCGTCAAGTTATACGTCCGCCGCTAGCTCAACGCTGCACACCACATGTGAGCTAATGTAGAAACGAAGAACTGCGGCGGAGCACGCAGGGCGTTTCGGGGATATGTGACACCCCGGCGTGGTAGTATGACCGGAAAGACCGACTGGAAAAGACGTGATCTCGGCTCTGATCGGCTATCGACCTCAAATCAAGTGATCACCCCTCCAAAAGTTCTCTATCGTGCGCAACTGTGACTGTGTCCCTCTCGATGGTACTCTTCCGGATCTCATCATTGCTGCGCCGCAGTCACTTGACAAGGTATGCACTGCTTCCAGTGTCGGTCGCATGGGGAACTGTCGGCTTTGCGTGCGTGTACACTCCGTGCCATTTGATATGAGCACACTTCGGTACCGCAATACCGGAGATGAACTGGCTCGGATGCTTCTGGCATTTGCGTCGGTGCGCTGCAAGCTCCGCTGGCACTATACCTCCTTCCGGGTGCCGTGATCTAGAAATCCACTAGTCGTCATTTCAAGCCGAGACCGGCGTGTGGTAAGTACCAAAGTGAGTAAGTTATCATCCTTCTAAACATAACACATGCGGCTGACATTGTAATTATCAACTCGCAAGCATTGAAATTCACCCAAAATATGGTGTCGAAGCCAATCCTGAGCTCGCGACCTTCACGAACACTGTTCACTACTAAAGATAGTGTCCATTTCCAATTTGCTCCCGGGTCGAACAGATCATCTAAATATGCCTGCAGCGAGCTACTTTATGGGCAGGTGCATTCGATCTCAAATGTAACCGACTCACCATCACGCATCAAAGTTTTCCTGCTTGTGCTCAATTTGCTCCAGACGAACTCTCGCAACACTCTTCAAGAGGGCGTGGTTTGGGATTTTGAGAATGATACAGGCGTCGAGGCAAACGCAAAACCTCTGCTGTCTGATGAATCCTTGCGTGGCTCTGTGATCTGGAAATCTTATTCCTGCAGAATCTAGATCTCTCAGATGACCGGAAGCTCGTTGATTCTACACATTGGTCGATTCGAGATGTTTTCTTTGCGGCGCCTGTCGCTTGCGAATCAGTACTATATCTCCGGTCCGAGTCGTTAGGCCGGTCTGTTTGCTAAGATAGACAACAAGTGAGGGGACTCTTCGTCGTCACGATCGGCGTTATCTTTGCCAGATTAAGCTCTTGGCCGAAGCCGAATTGGATTTTCCGCAGCAACTTGCCCCACGTAGACTGTGTCATGGTGGTCATAAGGTTTTTCGGTGGATGACTCCGCTCCTCTAGACAGTTGAGATTTTGACACTCGCGATTTCATCTGATGATTCTTCCGGCATGCTACTCACTTCCGAGCGCAAACCTTCTTTGCAATTAGGCGACGGTATTTCTGATTCTGATTGTTGGAATATGGTCCCTTGAGTCGTATCGGCCGCCAGCCTTCTATCTGACGCAATTCAGCGAATTTTCAGCTCACCGCCGGGGCACGGCCTTCGGGAGACCGAACGGTGCGCAGATTCCCCTTGAGAGGCTCCCCATCTTGGAGTTCCAATCGATGTCTATCCTGCTCCTTCACGCGTATCCGTGATCCGGTTTCCCCCCAGTTGTCTAAATCTGACCGGGGTGATATATGTAGCCGAAGATTCCGGTACAACAACTCGCTTCCAAATATCGATACCTGATCATGAGCACAAAACAAGGTCCCGTGATATTGAGTCATGTTTGTGCCTCACAATTGCGAGGACCATCATTGATGATTGGCGCAGTGACCTCAGGTCCTGCGACAAATCCGGGTGACTGGGCCAGAGAATACTGGAGAATAGTAGTTCATTCCGCGGTGTTTCACTTTTCGGCGGTCTGGAACGTCCTAGAACCGTCAGTAGGTGCAGGATGCGCGTCGCATCGGACACCCAAAATACATTTCACGGACGTTTATTCTCTGATCACTATCGACCTCGGGCTTCTTTACATAGCCGACCGACGGAAGCCAACAGCCTAACATGGCGATTTCTATGTTCCATACACGTCTTTGACAGGCCTCTAAAGCTGTAAAACATCATACTGCGAGAGTGCGCGCTGTGTGTTGGGATAAGGTGGCTTTTCAGGCTGCCATGCGGTGCTTTGCCATGTCGCAAGCATGCTCGGTGACGACGCTGACGTGCGGAACGCAGAAATATACGCGACTGGAATCGGCGGTGCGGAAACGCACGTGAATCGGTGCCAGAATTGCGTGCTTGACATGTGGACAGTGCCAGAAATGAGCTAGCTCACAGAGGTTGGTCGGCATTCACCAACATCGTCGGCTCCGAGCTGAAATTTCACAGGGAAATTAGTCTCTGTCAGCTCCAGTGCAAAACATTTGCCGAATTCTTCGATCGGTTCTGCGTGATGAAAGTGACATCCTGAGTCAGCGCATGGCTTTGGTCAGTGGTCGGTTCTTTCAAATTTCTTCCGATAGTTGATCACCTGGATATGGTGCATGGAAACGCGGCCGGTCGGCTTGCTTCTCCGCTCAGAGAGCGTGTGCGGTGAGATCTGGTGTATTTTCGGTGCATTACGGACGGAGTTCTAGTGATTATCGCATAAAACTATCCTTCAGAGAATCGTCTCATTAGACACGAAGAGCCCCATACTTGATTCCTCATCGAGGGAGTCTAGAAGAAATGAAGCTCATCACTGGTCCCGTCGTTGCTCCCAGCCACTTTCAACGTACCGAACTCGATGCCAGTGTGACTTCCGTCTACCCCATGACCAGAGCTCAAGAGGGGATGTGGATGGCTTACTCTGCTCAGCCACAGCACACCCTGTACAATTTGACAATGAAATTCACACTGGCATCCTCGGACACCTACTCGATGGAGAAAGTTCTAGCGGGTGAGGACATCGGCGATCTCAGCCTCGGACTGTGCACTCACTGGACATCACAGGCATCCAGACCCTCACCGCGCGTCACGGAATACTGCGGTCCACCTTCCACGGCAACAAGTCGGTGCTGTCCCGCCCATTCGTCGCGGAGTGGGACGCCCAGTCCGCGCTGCCGTCGGTCCGAATCGTCGTGGAGCCGAAGACGGTCATCGCCAAAATGCATTTGCAAAAGCTGCTCCACCAGGCTGTGCCGCTGTCGGAAGAGTTTGCTGTGCGCTGGCTCGTCGTCGAGCTCCAAGGCGCCATCGAGGTATATGTGATTGCGCATCACATTGCCTTGGACGGAACGAGCATGAGCGAGCTCAGTGGTGAGCTCCTGGGTCTGCTCGATGGGAAGGCGGAGGAAAGCAAGCCGATCGGCGAGGTTTTCCAAAAGGCTCATATGATGGAGGTGTGTTTTTTGATCATTCCTCATTCTTTAATGAATTCTGATCCGGTGCAGTCTGTGTTCCGAGGATCCGGTGCGTTCCAGCTGGCCAAGGAGTTCTGGCTCTCGCAAAGCCGGAATACCTCGTCGATCCAGTGGAAAGGCGTGCCCAAGGTGCCCGAGTCCCAGAACTACCGTGAGATTGCGAGATGGTCCGAGTTCAGCAAAGACGTGCGTGCGCGTGTTACCTCCCCGGTGTTCCAGTTGATTGACCGGATGTCACGCAGCAACTGGCGCAATGGAGCGCGCGGCATCGCACGTCGTGGTTCAGGGTCGCGCTGGCCGTGGTCGCACTCCTCACCCAATCGCACTCCATCGCAGGCTCGTCCCGCGATCAGACGCTGACGGTGGCGTTCGGCGGCCGTCCCAAGGGTCTTGATCGAACCGTGGGACATTTCGCCAACGCACTCCCCATCCGGGTCCCGGTGTCTCATCTGATCCGATCATCGTCCACCATCACCTTCGACGCGCTGCTCCGCCTGCTCTCGACCACCGTGTCGACTGCGAAGAAACATGAGCGGTTCTCGTTCATGGATCTGTCGCAGGCGTGCCTCGAGGAGGGCTGCATGCCGCCGCGGGCGCAGGTTGCGGTGACGCTGTCTCCGAAGCTAGAGCGCGAGGAGTGTGAGCTGTACCCCGTCGAGGGCCCATATGATCTCTTCTTCTGCTTTCTGGAGGCCGCTGACAGCGTCTCTCTCGGAGTGAGTCTATCTGCTGGTCATTCAACCGTGAAACTCATAAGGCTGTTCCAGGTCATCTACGACCCGACGCTGTTCGACCAGAAATCGATTGCGGCGCTCAAGGTCGACTTTGAACGGATCGTGGCCCAAGCCATGGCAGAGACGCCTTTCGATCTCCAACCGCTTCTGGGGAACCGCATCCCATGTCTGCTGCCGCCTATCGACACGACCGATGCGGGCCAGGTCAGCAAGCGCCGTTTCCATGTCATGTTCGAGCACCAGGCCGCTCGCAATCCCGCCGCGCTTGCCATGAGTTGTGCGGAGCGAGACGAGTCCATGACGTATGGAGAGATGAATGAGCGCGCGAATCAGATGGCGAACGGTCCGTGTGCTCTGTCCCTCGTGCGCGTCCCTGACGTCTCATGTCTTTGTAGCCCTGCGCCAATTGGGAATGGGCCGCACCCATGTCGTGCTGTTGCACTTGAAGCGGGGCTTCTCTACGTTGTGCTGGATCCTGGCCGTGCTCAAGGCCGGTGCGACGTACGCTATAGCTGATCAAGGCCACCCGCTTGAGCGGACGCGAAGTGCGATGGCGGTCGCCGAGCCCGACCTCATCGTGGATGACGGGATGGGTATCGAAGTGGGCCTCTTCTCAGGGACCGTCAAGATCTTGCGCACGGACACGTGCACCTTGGACGCGTTCCCGAAAGACAATCTGGAGGATGTGTCGCAAGACGATGACCTGGCATACATTGTCTTCACTTCCGGCAGCACCGGTATGTTTGCAACTTGCTCCGTCCGGCATTGATTTGCTCAATGCTCACGCAGGCCAGCCCAAGGGCGTCGAGATCACGCACAGCAGCCTCTCGAACTGGATCACGGCCGCCCACGCAGCCGGATATTTCCCCATGGGCCCGTTTTCCCGCGTGCTGCAGTTCGCCACGTTTGCTTTCGACGCGGCCGTCCTCGAATGGTCCCTGGCACTTTCCCTGGGATCCAACCTGTGCTTTGCCAACACCCCCCAGGCCCTGATCGGCGACTACCTCGCGGACGTCATCGACAAGAATCTCGTGACCCATATGCACCTGACTCCCAGTGTGCTTGGGACTCTGCCGGCGTCGAGAAGGTTGCAGAGCCTGGAGTGCATCAGTGTGGGCGGAGAGATGGTCCCCGACAACCTGATCGAACGTTGGAGGACGAGGGTCACCCTGCAGAATGCATATGGGCCGACTGAAGCGTATGTCCTTGTGTTCTCAGCTGCTGATCGGCATCCTGACGACGTCTTTGCAGCACGGTCGTCATGGCTCACCGACCTCAGCCCAGTTCCCCAGGCGATGCTGCGCCCTCCGCGGCGAACATCGGCAAACCGCATTGGCCCACGGAGGTGTTTGTGTGCAACCCTTCGTTCGACCGACTGCTGGCTGTCAACGAGGTCGGAGAGGTCTGTCTTGCCGGCCCGCAACTGGCCCGAGGGTGCGCATACATTGGTGTTGTCTGTGAACATCCAGTCTCAATCCGTCCTGTCTAGCTACCGCAACCGGGCCGATCTTACCAGCCAAAGATTCGCAGTCCATCCTCAGAATGGCAAGCGGATGTACAAGACCGGGGACCGCGGCAAACTGTTGGCCGATGGGACCGTGGTCCTGATGGGCAGAATGGATCGCGAGCTGAAAGTCCGAGGGTACAGGTGAGTCGATCGGCTCCAGGACCGATGCTTGCACTGACGCCGACGTCGAGGATCGACCTGGACGACCTGGAACGCACCGTTGTGGCTGTGATGCCGTCCATCATTAGCGTCTCGGTCCAGTCCTCTCCGTCGGGCACCGACCTGTGTGTCTTTGTTTCGCCCCAGACTGTCGATGGGACCGAGCTGAAGCGGCTGCTTGGGCTCCGGGTGCCGAGCTACATGGTGCCGCGGAATGTGTATTGTTTGCCGCGGCTGCCCTTGAACACGAGCGACAAGACGGACCACAAGGTGATCAAGCTGCGCATGGAGGAGCTGATCAGGGACGCCAAGTTCCCGTCCGGAGCGACGACACCCATCAGCACGAGCTCTGACGAAGACGACCTGAGCTCTCTCGAGGATTCCAGCCGCAGCTCGACCTTGGCCGATTCGACCATGCTCCAAGCCGACGAGTCGGTGTCGCATCAGGAACTGACCAACGTCTGGATCGAACTACTCGAGCTGAAGTCAGCGCCTTCTGGGAAGAGCAGCTTCTTCGATCTCGGTGGGAACAGGTAACAGTCATCAGTCTGTGCTTGCCCCCTGATGGCTGACGTCTCTCAGCTTGCTCGCGCAGACGCTCATCGAGAAGGTGAGGGGGCAACTGCCGTCGGGGTCGTTGTCGGTGTCTGTTCTCGACCTTTTCACCTACCCGTGCTTGGACGACTTTATCCCGTTCGTCCAAAGTCGTGCTCCTGCCAAGGTCACAGCTCCCAGAGTGAAGGGCCCTCGGATGTCGAGGCAGTCCTCGACCAAGTCACTCGCACCAGCCAGCCAGGCAGACACCATTTCAAGCCTGACGAACATCTGGAAGTCGGTCTTGCAACTGGATCGGGTGGCCAAGGACGCGAGCTTCTTCGATGCGGGCGGAAACAGGTGCGCGAGCTACGGGATCTTGCCGAGAACTTGTGACTTATTGCGTGCAGTCTGTTGATGACGACGCTGCACAAGTCCATCGTCCGGTCCTGGCCCGGTTGCGGGGTGCAGCTCATCGACCTGTTCCAGAACGCGACGATCCAGAGCCAAGCCGAGTTGATCGCAGTGCCGTCGCCCGAGTTGATCGCAGTGCCGTCGCCCGTGCACAGCACCGCACCGTCTTTGAAGGCGCGCAAGAAGAGGGCGAGCGCCACTGGAAAGAAGGAGCGAGTCGCTAGCAGGGAGTCCGCCGGCCCAGACGAAAGCAGAGACATCGCCATCGTCGGCATTGCCGGTCGGTTCCCTGGCTCGTCCTCGCCCCAGGAGCTCTATCAGCTCTTGCTCGACCAGACCGAGGCATTGACGCATCTGTGCCCGGATTCGCCAGTCGAGGTGTTTCCCGGCGGGGTGTATGTACCGCACCGAGGCGCATTGAAGGACGTCTGGGAGTTTGATGGTGCTCGGTGGGGCATCAAAGCTGAGGAGGCCGAGTGAGTGTTCGTGACATGTGTGGTCCGCGGCGGCTGATGACCGCCACAGGGAGATGGATCCGCAACAGAAACTGCTCATGACCGTCGCCCAAGAGGCTCTGGAGGATGCGAGTGCGGTTCCGCCTGCTTCCGGACCGAACAAGATCGGCTTGTTCGTGGGAGCCGCTCCCTCGACCTGGGTTCCCAGTTGCGTGCTGCATCGCATTTCAGATCAGCGAACTGACCTTGTTCTTAGGCAAGCCAGACGAGGATGCGTTCCACCATGCGCACCGAGAGGCGCTGACGCCCTGTCTGTCGGCGCTGACGGCGTACCATCTGAACCTGCAGGGCCCGAACGTGACGCTCCACACCGCCTGTTCGAGCGGCATGGTCGCCATGTCGTTGGCAGTCGACAATCTCCGCTCGAAGACGTGCGATGTCGCACTGGCGGGTGGAGTGTCGGTTGCATTCCCGCAGTGCGTACCACAAACTCTTATCGCCGCCGGCAAAAACACTCACCGTTTGCAGAGCGGGATATCTCACTGCGCCGACACGCCTGTTCTCGCCTTCTGGGCACTGCCGACCCTTCGACTCGCGATCCGACGGCACGCTTCCGGGAGACGCAGTATGTGCGCTGGTGCTCAAGCGGATGAGCGACGCTGTCCGCGACGGGGACGATATCTACGCTGTGGTCAAGGGGATGGCCGTCGGCTCAGACGGGAAGCCTGGGAAAGCAGGACCGACTGTTCCCAGCCCGAGAGGACAGGCGCAGAGCGTGAAGGGCGCGTGGATGGATGCGGGTGTCAGCGCAGGGAAGCTGGTCTATGCGGAGTGGGTGTTGGATATCCAGGTTGCGCATGTCAACTCCGCTAATGTTTTGCACAGACTGCACGGCAGTGGAACACCGATCGGCGACGCACTGGAGCTCGAGGGCTTGAAGATGGCCCGACGAGAACTCGGGGTCGAGAAGACGCCGTACATTGTGGGATCGAACAAGGGCAATCTGGGCAACTGCGAGGTGCGGGACCTGATCTCCGTCTCGTATTGACAGATTCAAACCCCTTCTCAGGCTGCATCTGGATTGGTCTCTGTGATCAAGCTCGTCAAGTCCATCCAACATGGCGTGGTTCCCCCGCTGCAGTCCTTCGAGCAGCCGAACCCGGTCATCGACCCGACGCTGAAGATCTCGTTTGCCAAGAATCCCGTGCGGTTGTCTCCCGACGCCTTGCTCAGTGCATCGAGCACGGGTCTCGGCGGCGTCAACGCCCATTGCGTGCTGGCGTTCCCCCCCGCCCAGCACAAAAGAAAGGCGTCGGTCGAGGCGACGTCCATCAAGGGTCCAGTCGACGTGTCGGTCGAGGTGCCCAGTCCGAAAGCGAGTGTGCCAGATGCCACGTCGGCTGGTCATCTCGTGCTCCGTCACGTTCGATCTATCCTCGGCACGGACGAGATCAGCTCCACGACAGTGTTGAGGGATGCCGGGCTGGACAGTCGCGGCCAGATGGCGCTCCTGCATCAGCTGCAGCAAGCAGGGTGCCACATCCCGTGCGTGCCTTCCTTCATTTAGAACTCGTCTCTCGGGCATTGACCGAATCCCTGCAGTCTCTCGGCGTTCATCGACCCATCGTGCACGGTCGAGTCCATTGTGGCGTCGATCAGTGCATCGCTTGCCTCCTACATCTCGTTCCTGCAACAAGCTCCGACGGGAACGACGTACGTTCTCATCGCACCAGGAGGCGGCAGCTGCCTGTCGTATGCTGCGCTGGCGCGTCATTTGCCGGCAGATTCAACGATCATGGCGCTCGATCACCCTGCGCTCCACGGCATCGACTCGGATTGTGGGATCAACGAGCTCGCCACGAGATACGTGAAGGACATGCCGCCCACTTGTCGCGATGTCGTGCTCGTGGGCGCCTCGTTCGGTGGTCTGGTCGCGACGGCGATGCTGGGCCCGATGCAAGAAGCCGGAATCCAAGTGCGCGCGGTGGCCCTCATCGACAGTCCGTTCCCAGGATCCACCTCCGCAGACGTCTTGCTGACTGCGGATGCGTTCGTTCGCAACGTGTTCTCTGCGGAGTCGAGGCCCGCCTTGTCTGCCGAGGAGGCAACCCTCGATCTCGCCACGTTCGCCGCTCGGCATGGCAGCGATATCCGTGCGCTGGCCGGGACGTACGAGAAGAACGTCAAAGCGATGGCTGAGTGGTTGCCGTCTGGACCCTACGCCACCTCTGCGCTCTATGTCGCTGCCACAGCTGGCGAGGTCGACGAGCGCTGGGAGGCGGCATTTTCAGGGATGTCCGTCGAGCGAGTCGAGGGGGAGCATGCCGGTGCTTGGATCGGAGACAACGCTGTCAAGGTCGCTGGGTGGATTGAAAAGATGCTCGGCGCGCAGTAAGCCGGACCGAATGTATTGATAATGTGAAAATCGTTTCTAGTATGGCATGTTCTCGCATCACAATGTATATGTATTAACTGTCCTTGTGTAATCTTGCGCACTCGCTGGAGCTCATGGCTCCGAGTACTTCACCCCGACGGCAGCCCTTCCGACCACGCCGGGAAAGCTGTCGCTGGGGGTGTGCGCGTACCGCACCGATTCTCCATACTGACATCCTCCTCCTCGTCCACATCGAGAGACGCGGCGCACCCCTCTCGATATCTGCTCTGCTCTGGATGTATACACATGTGCCCGAGTCCGCGAGCTCGCGAGCATCGAAGGGAGAGTTTGTTGAGCTCGGCGGTGAAAGCAGTTGCCCCCAGTCCACTTGCATCGGCAATCCGTGCTGCGTACCGAGTCCCCGGACGCGCCGGTTAGCGTCCATCGTCGTGTAGTACGTAACAGTGCACGAAGTCAGTCGCTCGTGCCACGTCCGTGGAACAGATCTGGCTGGAAGTTCAGATGGATACAGACAGCAGTGCGTACGCTCACGCACCTTGAGCAGTCTTTGAGCACAGCATTCTCGACACTGCCGAGGTCGTGGGTCGGTTGCCTGTGGTCGATCGGCGGCATACCTACCATGGGCTGGAAAGCGTCTTGGAAACCGTCCAGCGCACCGGAGCGGATTGCCGCTGCTACCGCAAGGGCGTGCCTCGTCCCAAGCAGGCGCGGGCTGTCTACTTTTGAAAGTGCCGCTGCCGAGTATCCCTCCAAAGACAACTGCGCTGAAACCTGTGCCCGTCGCAGCTGCTGCGGATCTGTGCGAGTCGTGTTATAACCGGCCGCTCCAGCAGTAAGGCTCGTCACTTCCAATCCTGTGCTTGTGACGCCGCTTTCACCAGCACCGGGACCCGTTGTCGTCGCTGCAACTGCCGCATTCGAGGCTCGTCCTGACGCATGTCTTCCGCACGTCGCAAGTAAAGCTGTTCCTTGAACTGCAGCCGTCGATACTCTTCCTCCTCTTGTTGCTTCTGGCACATATACTGTCCCTCGAGTAACCTGTATGGAACACCTTGGATCAGGCCACCCAGCCTCACATGAAATCTATCCAGCTCGCTGATCAGACTCGGATGCACTCCTACAGACGAGAGCGAGCCTGCCCACTTCCCCTACAATCGGTGATCCACAGTTCCCAAAAAGAGGCCACGACGTTTCAGGACCTCGCGTGCGTTGAAAATCCACCTGACACTGTCACGATCTGGGAAGAGGAACATCAGATCAGCCAGGACTGAACGCAATGCATCCCATCCCACTTACGCAGGCCAATCTAAGGCCACAGCATCGGACCCCGAAGCTGAAGTGAGATGAGTCGACCGACGCGTTTTGAATAGTACTCCCAATCCCTCACAGCGCCCGCGTGGGAGACTGCTTCCTTCCGCCGGATTCGGATCGTGCGCTGCATAAAACGACGGTCGCACGGCACCCAGTCCATCAAAGCCAGGATAAGGTAGATCAAAGTGAGGTAGTGTGCGGTATCGATGAGCGATGGACTGCCCCCTCGTCTCGATTTTCCTGGTGCATTAGGATGTCACAGCGGATGCATCTCGTCTTCCGTCTGACTTCACGTCGAACTTCGAATCGCGGCACTTGCGCCTAGTATAGCTCGCAGGGACGGGCTGTCTTCTCTTATGGCACAAGACGGCCGGACACAAAGGTCAAGTCGATTCCAATTTCCCGACACGTCGGGCCGTCGGCAGAGATCGGGTATGCAAAATGTTGTTACTGGTCAAGTCACGGTGATACTCGTGACGAGCTTGATGGGGTGTGACAGCACGTGTTTTTCAGTTCCGGGCTCGTTGGAAGTACTTATGAACGCCGGTTTCAGTTCAACGCGAACTGGATTCTCGGATGATTCGCGTATCCTGCATCCATGGCGATGTCTATCTGTCGTCGCTGTAGAGCATGCGAGCGTCGAATGGAATGGTGGCCGATTGAATCGCTTTGTGTGCGTATCCCCAGAGTGACTGAAAAAAGACTAGCCATCAGCATAACTCAAACCTGCTTACAGAACAGCTTCTAGTCCCAACCCAGCTAGCTCATCCTCAGCGGCAAGTGACGGCCTCGACGGGGAAACCCGGGTTGGCCGGACCTTTCTGGCGGCGAACGGGGTCATCGGATTGCGCCTGTGGGAGAGACTTGTGTGATTATATGAGCAGTTTGACTGTGCGCCGGAAAAATTACCGCGGGTGGAGCAGGAGATAATAGTTCCCGCGCTGATCTAGGGCCCCGGTTCCATGGGACACGGCGACTGCTCTCGTGCGTCCCACTGCTCCCAAAGCCAGACCAGCTGATGACCACGTAGACGCGCTTATTAGGAGTTACCAATGAGCATTCAAAGCGACTCGTGTGCCGTTGTGCATCTCGACGTCCGGTGAGAGCCACGGGATACCAGGTACGTACATTCGGGCAGCACCGGTTTTTTTTGCATTGACATGCATCGGCTGCTTATGTGTGAGATGCTGCGACAAATCCCTTTGACAAATCTGGGATCGCTGTGGATCGCGAGGACCTCGCTCGCTACGAGCGTCCCGTGTATTCCACGTCGGCGCGTTTATTGATTTACAGCCATAAGGTCGATGTAGGTGTTTGAGGGATACAATCTGGACCGCGTGGATAGCTGGTTGGTGTTCAAATATCCAAGACTCGATTTCAAGTTTAGAACATGTAGGTACCCGAACTCGGCGACTTTGATGCACCAACAAACAGCATACCGCTCTTCAGCTATCTCATCAACTTGCCTCTCCAACGCCTATGTTTTCTTCACCATCTTCGTAACTCACACGTCCTTTGATAAGCAAGCGTTATTTTCAGCGCGGGAATATATCACCCGACTTCCTTATACCCGCGCGGTCATATTTTCTGACATTGACCGATAGTAGGCGAACGCGTATCGGAGGCCGGGTGCGTGTGTCTGGAGGGCCCGAAGGTTGCATCTCGTGCTGGGCGACACGTCCATTCTACGCGTGCTGCCTCACGACGTGTCCCCACCACCTCCATCATGGCACGGACTCAGTCACCGGGTTGAGGTCTCTTGTCGCGTCTGCCGTCGAGAGCCACTGGGCCACTGGGCACGGATGACGTCCCAGATCGAGGCAGAATTAGATCGCGCTCCAGGTGAATGGGGCTACGGGCCTACGGCATCATGGCCCAGATAAAGCAGCAAGCTGTCACTGCTCCCGCATGACCAGTCCTTCTACGCGCGACCCGCGCTCGTTCCCGGCCCCATGGCGTCTACGGAACACGACGAACAGGATTCCATGAGCGAGAAAGACGGCGCCTGCGACGCCCGTTGGACGAGAAGAGGAGCCCCTCGGAGGATGACATCGAGACGGCCGGGGATCCCGGGACGAC